ATAGGTGAAGCTATTGATTTAGAATACATTAATTATAGATTTAACTGAAAATCCTCCCAAATCCCAGGATTTGATAAATTAAAAATAAAATTGCTCTATATCGAAAAGTATTTGAAATTTTGTGTTTAGAACTTTAGTATTGTTAAACTTGAAAGCTTGACCTCTATATCATTATCCAATAAAGACACTTTTATATCTGAGAATCAATGATCCCTTTATTGAAATTTGTCCATGAAGGGTTTGACGGGACACCTCTCTGAAATTAAATTAAACCGAGAATCTGCATAAGATGGAGATCAATATACTTAATCCCAAAATTCACAACAAACAAAATCTGACTTCAGGACAGATTTCAAACTCACTTTAAAATAAGAAAGAATGACTGTTGTCTTCACTTTATATTTTAAACAAACATACATTCATATCTACAAAAGAAATTATGATGGCACGTTAAAGATATTTAACATTAAACAATTTCATAATTCTAACAGCAGTTTTAATTTAAAGAAAGACCTAAGTTGACAATCAATCTGTTGAATGATCACTGCAATGATTGTATTATATTCAGGGATCAGTTCTACGGTGGGAAGATTGATCGCTGGATGGTTTTGTGATCGACCCTGGCTGCATCCTGTTACGATCTGTGCTGTTTCTATCATTGTGATTTTTGCATTTTCTTTTATTAGCAGACAAATCTCATTTTTTTTATTAGCAGACAAATCCACAAAGGCTCCCTTTTAAATTATAAAAATCAAGAACATTTTTGATCACTTTTCAGATTTAATTTAAAATTTTTTGATATTTGCATAGAAAATTTATGGCTTCCAATCGGAATTTTCCAATCAGAGCGGAATTGTGCGCAACTGTTCTAGAATTGCGCGCAATTTACATAGCTATAAATTGCGCGCAACTAAAATCCGATTGCGTTGGAAACTCTAGCAAAAATACATAATTAATTTATACTTTCACAAAAACCGAAAACATCATTTTTTTCCAATAAATTAATTCTTATATTTTAAATATTTTGTTTCAGTTCCCGTTCTGTTGGTCTTCTGCTTCATTCGATCCTATCCAATCTTTATCTTTCTTGGAATCTGTTTCGGATTATTTACAGGTTTAGCACAATTATTTATTGTTGCCTTACCTAGCGAAAAGGTTTAAAATATGCCACAACTTTTGAATAAAAAGTGCTATTTTACAAAGACGAAAACTCTTAATATAAGAAAATTAAAAATCGAAAATTGAAAATTGATGCATAGTTTTTTTTAGATGTCTGAATCTATGTGTGGTGGCAACCTATGCTATTTCAAATTTTGACTACTTCTAGTCGAATGCAAATGATTGAAATATCAAAGGGTTATGCCCACTGAGATAAAGACAACCCTGAGTTATCAAATTTCTATATTATACAGACTTAACTTTGAAGTGTCTCAACGCCTCGGCCTTTGGTTTTACCTCACAAATCATTAATCTTTTCTTCTAGGCCTAGAAATAAACATGTTAGAAATACTACGTGTCTAGCTTAAGTTTAAAATGAGTATTTGGCAATATATTGCTCGATTTTTGTGTGATAGCGTGTACATCTGTATTTGCAATGTGCCATAATGCACATCTTGATTTGCAATGTGCCATCATGCACTTCTTGATTTGCAGTGTGCCATCATGCACATCTTGATTTGCAATGTGCCATCATGCACATCTTGATTTGCAGTGTGCCATCATGCACATCTTGATTTGCAATGTGACATCATGCACATCTTAATTTGCAATGTGCCATCATGCATCAGGTTGCAAAGTAGAATTTTAGGCAAGTAATCAGTTTCATTTTAAAGCATTGCAATTATATGCAAAAAGTGCAATCTTATAGATAACTAATGAATACAGTTTATACCTTTAATCAACTTTTTAATGAGAATATGTTCAGCAAAATTGCGCAGAACAGAATAACGCAAAAGCGGAAAACGCCACTTTGCGCGAAATGAAGTTTGCGAATGATTATGCAAATTGCTATTTTTTTCGCGCAAAAATGTAGCACAGCGAAAAAAAAATAATAGTTTTATTTTTTCAAAATTGCGCAAAAGTATTACGAGTGGAAACCCTTTTGGCTAATATCTTTTAAAGAAAAGAATAGTTAAAGAAAACCAGGCATAATAAAAGATTATTTTTTCCATCATATTTTTACCATC